GTTTTTTGTGGGTTTTTGTTTGTTTGTTTTTTGAAACAGCGCTAGCTGTCCTGGAACTTGCTCTGTAGACCAGGCTATCCTCAAACTCGTAGAGATTCACCTGCCTTTGCCTCCCACGTTCTGGGATCAAATCTGTGAGCACCAGCGAGCAAATCTGTGGTGTCTTTATTTTTATCCTCAAGTGTTTGAGAAACTGGCTGCCCTTGTGTACTCAGAACTACATTCTTTGCTTCCTATTTATGAGAGATTCATAGTGGCTCAATATGTTGTAATTAAGGATAAAACGAGAATGTTTTATTCTTGTTTATGTTTTGTTTTTGAGACAGTATTGTTACTGTATTTCAGCCAGCTTCTATTTCACTGAAACAGAACTTGAAGTTGTCCAGGTTGGCCTTGGGATTTATAACAGACCTCTTGCCTCAGCCTCCCAAGTGCAGGAATTTGCAGGTATATCACCCCACAGTCATACCCCAATAAGGGTTTTAGTTCATCTAGGTCTTGTTTGTTTGAGACAGGGTCTCTTGTTTTATAGCTCAGCCTCCCAAGTGTTTGGACTAAGGACATATACCATTACACCTGGCCATTTCCAGGTTGTGTTCTTACCCAATTGAGGAAAACATAAAACACATGCTGAGTTCAAGAGGTACATCCAGCAATCTGCTGAAGTGGCAGTTCCAGACAGCTGAGTGTGTCATGCCTTTTGCTGCTTCCTGCAGAGCCCTTGTTTAAATTCTGTTCTTTGTTCTGCTGTAATGGCTGTAAGGTATCTACTGTTTCTTACACTATTGGATTTGTTTTTCCTTCTAACAAAATCTATGTTTTCAAGATAGTAAATGGGAATCAGTGCTTAGGTAGAAGAATAAAAACATCTGTTTCTTCCTATTCGGGCACTGTTACATCTTATTTTATTCACTGTCACAAGCTACTGTTTTTATTCAGCATTATCTTGGGCTGGAGATATAGGCACTTGCTTAGCATATATTGTAATTTAGAAAAAGTGGCACCAGAGAGAAACACACCATGTGACAGAGCTCAGGTGGAAGGGTTTTTTATTGGGCGATAGTGAATGGGAAAGGAGGGGAAGGAGAGAGGGGAGACAGGCCTCTTGGGGATAGGAGTAACAGGAGAGAAGTGAGGAGAGAGAGAGATGGGGGGGTGTAGGGTCCTTTTAAAAGGAAACATAATGAATGTATGCAGGAGGTTGTCTTTAGTGACTGCAGCTGAGGACATATCCTGTCAGAACCCCAAGGTCAGGCCAGTACAGGTGCCTGAAGATCTTTCTGTTTCAGCCTGATCTACAGAGTGAGTTTCTGGACAGCCAGGGCTACAACACAGAGAAAACCTGTCTCAAAAAAGAAGAAGAAAATGCTCTACAACAGTAATTTTTTTTCAACCTTCCTAATGCTATGACCTAATACAGTTTCTCATATTGTGATGACCCCCAATTATCAAGTCAATTTTTATGCTATTTCATAACTGTTATTTTGCTACTGTTGCAAGTCATAATGTAAATATCTGTGTTTTCCAATGGTCTTAGAAAGGGTCATGACCCACAGAGTAAGAACATTCTGATCTCAGGTAGACTTTTTCCTCAACTAAGTTACTCTCAGTTGACATAAAACTTAGCACAGAAAGCTAAAGTTTTTCCAATGCTGGAATGACAGACAGCTTGAAATACTTTGAGTGAACATTGTAGTGTCCCATCATGTGGCCTTAAATAACTGGCCTTCACTCCAGTCACAGCACCTGAAGAGCAGATCCAGAATCTTTTACCAGCCAGAGGTATAGCTACCATTTGGCTCCCCAGGGCCTCATCTTATAGACATTTGCAATGAGGGGTGAACTAGGCAGGGATTTGAAATCTGTACCAAACAGGTGGGAGAGTAAGCCAGTTCAGGGCAGTCTCTGCTTTGTTGTTCTGTGTTGGAGAAGAGTACGGTCACGTCTCAGGTATGAGAAATGAGGTGTACCATCTGACCTTTCTTTCTTTGGATCTCATGCACAAGTCTGCAGTTACCATCGACATCTAACGGATATATATTTAGCCTACAGACAAGTGCAATGGTTAACTTAGTCACGCAATTCTTGCTAAGTGTAAAGATCACCTGTCATCCATCCTAGTTTCTTGGAGGTAGAGGCAGGAGAATCAGGAGTTAAGTCATTCTTGACTACATAATGAGTTCAAGGTCAGCCCAGAATACGCAAATAAGTCTCAAGCCAAAAGTAGTGTTCACAGTCTTGTTATTTATGCAGTAGTAAAACTGCATGTGTACCTATCAGGAGTTTGTGTGCTCCTATGCAGTAGGAACACTGTGTGCTACTCAGAGTCGTAAGACACAGTGACAGAAAATACCCAAGGCACAAGAGTGGTGGTTGTGATGTGCTGATACAATACAAGAGAAGGAAACATACTTTCTTCTTTGCTTTAACTGTCAGGACACACCTAAGGGATCTGGGTACTAACACATATAAATGAGGGGTTTTATGTTGTACACTAAAGATAACCACCAGGCAGTGGTGGCACACACCTTCAGTCCCATCACTCAGGAGGCAGAGGCAGGTGGATCTCTAGAACTCAAGGTCAGCCTGATCTTACAGAGCAAGTTCCAAGACAGCCAGGGCTACACAGAGAAACCCTGCCTGAAAACAACAATGACAATAACAACAATATAATAATACCAAAATGGAAATGGAAAGATTACTCAGTGGAGAACTAGAGAAACTGGTTCCCAGCACTCAGATGGTGGCTCACAACCATCTTTTAATTCCAGTTTCAGAGGATCCAACTCCCTCTCTGGCCTCTGAAGATATACCACACATGCATATGGTGCACACACATATATATACATGGAGGCAGGCAAACATTCATGCATATAAAATTAAAATAAATGAATCTTTAAGAAGAATAATTACTAGCATACACTGTCACGTCTTTAAATAGCACCATCCTGTCCTCCTTATACCCTATAGGATGTACTCAGTATTGCTGTAAACAAACTGAATGCTCTAGACTCATCTTTATGTTCCTGTCTATAGCATGATAAGATTAGAGAGACATTAGATACCAACAAATTTTCTCAGTTTTTAGGTTTGAATTTTCCCTTTTTGGCAGCAGCACTACACAGATGCAACCATTTCCTCAAATCTGATTGGCGGCAAGGTGGGAGACTCATCCCTGTACTGGGATCTAGACCCTCTATGAGTCTAGTCAACTTTAACCAAGTGATGATAGTGGCCACTTGTGACCATGGCCGTGTTTAAAGTATGTATTATCTTGTCACCAACTGAAATTTTCTAGAAGAACTTTTTTTGGTCAGCTGCTAAGTTATATCAAGAAATGATTTGTACAGGAGAGCTAGAGTAAAGTCCTCAAAGCTGTATCTTTCATTGAGTACCAGTTCTGAAGGGACCATGTATTGTTCATTAATACCTGAAAGCTATCCACTCTTGTCCTCCATCACACAAGTGCACACTGGCATTACCAGTTCAAAACAAAATAAAAAAAACATTTGTGGAGCTGGTGAGAATGCTCCGCAGGTACCTGCCACTAAGTCTGATGATTCCTGCAAGTTGTCTTCTGACACACATACTAATTCAACATAATTTTTTGTTTTGTTTTTTTTTTCAAGACAGGATTTCTCTGTATAGCCTTGACTGTCCTGGAACTCACTCTGTAGACCAAGCTGGCCTCACTCACACAGATTCTCCTGCCTCTGCCTCCCGAGTCCTAGGATTAAAGCCGTTTGCCATCACTGCCCAGCTCAACTTAAGTTTTTTTTAACAACTTGAAATCATGCTGACTGCGACTGAGCCTCTTTCTGGCTTGCTGTCTGTATAGAGATTGCATTTTGCTTCCATTTCTGTTTTGTTTGTTTATGTGTGTTGTTGAAACATCTACATGGCTTCTAAGTTCAGTGTACATACTGCAGCTCATTTAAAGTATCCAGCTGACCCCTGTCCTCTTCTCCTGTAAGTTCTTTCCCTGTTGAGTGTGTTCTTTCCCCGCCCTCGCCCCCTTCCCTCTTTGGATTCCTCTTTTTTAAGATGAGTATCTTACTCTGTAACGTGGCCTAACCTCAAATCCATAATTCAGTCCTAGTCCTGCCTCAGCTTTCTGAGTACTTGATAAGAGATATGTACCAGAAGGGGCATGACTCACTGGCTAAGACCAGTGACTGTTCTTCAGAATACTCACACGGTACCTCACAACTGTCTGCAACTACAGTTCCAGTGATCTGATGACTTCTTCTGACCTCTTTAGACGTCAGGTACCCATATGTTTCACATACATACATGCAGGCAAGATGCTCATACACGTAAAATAAAAATAAATGTATCTATCTTTGGGGGGGTTCGAGACAGGGTTTCGCTGTAGTTTTAGAGCCTGTTCTGGAACTAGCTCTTGTAGACCTCCCTAGTGCTGGAATTAAAGGTGTATGCCACCACTGCCCAGCAATAAATGTATCTTCTTTTTTAAGGTGGGCTGGTAGTCAGGCATAGTGGCTCGTACCCTTAATCCCGGCACTGAGCACTCAGGAGGCAGAAGCAGGCAGATCTCTGAGTTTGAGATAGGCAAACTCTATAGGGCAAGTTCAAGGACAGTAAGGTCTGTTACAAAAAGAAGCCCTGTCTTGAAAAAAATAAATAAAATTAAACATAAAGAAAGGCAAAGGTTTAGGGAGGTGGCTCGGTGGTTAAGAGCCCATGCTGCTCTTGTAGAGGACCCAAGTTAAGCTCCCAGTACTCCTGTTGAGCAGCTTACAGCCACCTGTAACCTGAGCCTCAAGAGTATCCTAGCACCTCTGGTTTCTGGGTGTCTGCACTCATGCACAGACACACATACTTGTACACAAATATATTTTAAAATCTTTTTTAAAAGAAAGAATAATTTTGAGAAAGGTAGCTTCCAGAGCAACAGTACCTCTCTGGCAGAACAAGGCTCTGGTAGGCTCTCGACAGTGCCAGATCTCTCTAACCATGTCCTGTGCCCTGTCTTCCAGGAGCTGTACCCTGCATTCTGCATTCACAATGGAGGCTCGGACCTTGAGCGGCTACCTACAGCCAGCACCTGCATGAACCTGCTGAAGCTCCCAGAATTTTATGATGAAGCCCTGCTGCGAAGCAAGCTGCTTTATGCCATTGAGTGTGCTGCTGGCTTTGAGTTGAGCTGAGTTGAGCCCAGGGAACTTGATCTGACCCAGAGGCAACCAGCACCTACCAGACCCCCCCACCCCACCCCACCCCCCAGAGCACTCAGGCGGGACCCGCGGCTCTCCTCATGCCTTCTTTCTTCTTTCTTCCCTCTCTGGTTTTTTTTTTGTTTTTGTTTTTGTTTTTTTAAGATAATTTTATTGAGGCAGTCACTTACATAGATGGACGTTGCTTTTCACCTAACTTAACCATTGTTATGTGCCATGTGGCTGGTTTAGTAAGTTTGCCAAGAAGAGCACAGGTTTTTTAGACTAGTGGCAATTCAGTGAAATTAACCAAAGATGAAGCTTTGGCCTTGCTGACCCAGTTCATATCCCCTTTGGGTCAGGCACCTGTATCTGCAGACGGAATCTGGGGCTGATACGCAAAGTCCCAAGCCACTGCTTCTCATGTGGTTGATTGTTTACAAGCCTAATTATAAGAACTGAAGGCATTTTTCCTGCTGCCTTTTCCCAAAGTGATTAGGTTTGGAAAATGGATAACGCTAGTATTATTTTATTTGTGCTTTTTAAGCCATGTCCCCCAGGTGGGACTCGCATGCTTATCTTCAGACTCCTACTGACCTGCATCATGAGGTTTGGACGTGGCTGTGTGAGTGTGAGGTGGCTGCTGCCCTCATTGCTCTTTTCCTATCTCTGCTTTGTACCTGGAGAGTTTTCCAGGGAGGTGAAGGAGGAGGGTCCCTGCACTTCCTGAGGTACTTTGTCACCTGCAGTGAGCTGGCGACTGGGGGATGTGAGCACTGCAGCTTTTATTAAAGTCATTTGAACCAAAGTGGCGGGCTGCGTCTCTCCGTGATCCACGCGCCCTCCTGGCCCGACAGTACTACCCATCTTCTTGGGTATTTTGGGGGGATTTGCCAGGCCTTAGCACCTCTGCTTCCCGCTGCTGTTTTGATAAGAAGGCAGTGACCCTGGAGTGTGTCAGGGAAGAGCATCAGGCCAGGTGATTCTTACTCAGGCACTTTATCCGGGTCCAACTTGTCTCCAGGTGACCACAACCTCTGCAAACAGGAAGCAGGGAAGCATCTAAGGAAGTCTGCATGCAAGGACCAACATGGAGCTGGTGAGGACTCCAACCCCGCATCTCTGCCAAGTCTAGCATCTTTGTGCTGTTGGGTTAGGTGGCCAGAATTAGCAATATACTTTTAAATGTGGGAAAACTGAATGACACTTTTAAGACAATAACCATTATCAGACAAAATGTATAATTTCTTAATTTGAATAATAAAGTGTTTAAATGCTATTTGTAGTCTTGATACATAGGAAGAAATAGCGTTTATCCTTGATCTTATTTTTTTGTTTGGGGATGTTTATGTTTAATGTCCTATACCTTTTAATTAGTTAATTTGTGTATTAGTATTTTAAAAGTGAAGTATCTGATACTGGAGATAAATTGGCAGTTTACATATTTGTGTTTTTTTTTCTATCAGCTCTTCTGAGCTTATTTATTTGTACGTCCTAATGGATGAATATTTACATTAAATCTTTTTCCCCAAGATTGTGTTGGAGTGCTACCCCAGGTCACTGGTCACTTGTATTCTGCTGTAGTAGACAGGTCACATAAGTGTGCAGTATAGAAAACCACGCAGCCTGTGGTCCCTTGCATTCAGCCAGTCCTGGAATACCCACTAAGAGTGAGGAGCTCAGGTACCAGTTCTCAGTGGGTCTTAGATTAAATTGCTAAGAAAAAAAGAAACCTTTCTAAATTAAGATTCTTATGTCTTCATTGTTCTAGGTGTCTTTGTGTTTTGTCTTATTTTGCTTACTTTGGGTAACTTTTTTCTGAGACTTAAACATTGGGCTGGTCATTGGTTGTTACAGGTGTTTCTCATGGGCTGTTACAAGCTCAGAGAACTTTGCATTGGTATCTGTGGGCTTACTACATAAGTGTTCTCCCACCAAATCATAAGCACCAGGTGTGTGCTGTCACTAAGTGGGCACAGGTCTGTGGAGTCACCCAACATGAGCTGTAGTGCACTGAGATGCTGGCATTTGTGTGCATTCTCGAAACTGCTTGTTGTAGAGTTAACCCTTACAAAAGTTTCCTGAAAACAGCATAAGCTTAAAACTTTATAACTACTCAAATAGAAATTAAGAAAGAAGAGCGGTGGTGGTGGTGCATCCCAGCACTTGGGAGGCAGAGATGGGTGAATGTCTGTTAGTTCGAGGCCAGGCTGGTCTACAAAGCTGAGTTCCAGAACAACCAGAGCGGGAGGGAAGGAGGGAGGGAGGGAGGGAGGGAGGGAGGAAGGAAGGAAGGAAGGAAGGAAGGAAGGAAGGAAGGAAGGAAGGAAGGAAGGAAGGAAGGAAGGATAAAATGGGGGGGAAAAGTCTACTGCTCTTTCACTCACATCCACCCAGCTGCACTACACAACGCAGTCTATTGTACACTAGTGTCAGTACCTCCAGAACATACTTATCCCCCACCTACCCCAAGGGCCACAGGCCTCCAGAAAATAAACATCCCTGTGGTCCCAGACAGCACTGTACTTGAGTAGGCCTAGCTGACTTCAAGTTTTGGTGTTGGATAGTAATCTGAACTTACTGGGGACCAGTGCAAAAGATTACTAAATACACGGAAGCCTCTGTTGTAGAAACCTGGGAGTTGGGTGACTCCTATGGACATACTTGGACTTCACAGGTGCCACACCTCCTGTATACTATACATATCAGGTGCATGAATGGGCTCTTAATTTCTTTGTTTCGGGTTTAGCAATTGTCACATTTCAAACTTACTGTACTCTTGTTACTCTGAAATGGTTGTGATAAACAGTATTTGTTATTCCTGTAAGAAATTGTTTCTGGCAGGTAGTGATGCACAATTTTACTCCCAGCATTCAAGGGGCAGAGGCAGGTGGATCTCTGTGTTTGAGGCCAACCTGGTCTACAGAGCCTTGGTCAGCCAGGATTTCACAGAGAAAAAAAAAAGAAGAAGAAGAAGAGGAGAAGGAGGAGGAGGAGGAGGAGGAGGAGGTGGTCAGGCAATGGCGCACACTGTTTACCCCACACTCAGGAGGCAGAGGCGGGTGGATCTCCGAGTTCAAGCCCAGCCTGGTCTGCAGAATGAGTTCCAGGACAGAGCTACACAGAGAGAGACCCTTTCTCAAAAAGAAGAAAATTGTTTTGGGACACCACAGGCTGAACCAGAATAAGATAGTGAACTTTATGTATAAATATCATATTCTGACTACTAACAGTGATCTACATGTCCCTCTCATTAAGTGTCTATCCCCACAAATACAGCAATGTCGCTATCAGTCCAGTTAATAACTCTACAGTGGCCCCTGCAGGTGAAGTTAAAGGAAGAGTTGTTCGCTGCTTTGAACTAAGAGTTAGAGGTGTGCCGCAGTGAAAGCGCACTTGTCTCGCATGAGTGATAGCCTTAAAAACAGCAAAACTAAAAAGCATTAAGTTTAGTGAAGACATGTTAAAAATTACATTGAGGTTTTTTTAATTATTGTTTTTATTAAGCTATTTATTTTTCTCTGCTCTCCTCCCTTCCTCCCACCTCCTCTTCTGTTTGACTACTTTGCCTTGCTCTAGGCCAAATGGACAATTCCAAGCTTGGAACCAAGTTTTTAGATCCCAGGTTCCACTTGCTCTGATGCTCTGATTTTCAGATGAAGTTTAAGGCCACCTCATACCATACTTGGTAATACTTGGTGACTTGAATGGTGGCAACCTATAGGATTGCTTATCTTAAGCCCAATAAAGGAGGCTTTATTTGGTGGAAGGATCTTTGCATGTGTAGTTGAAGACCTTGAGATGAGATCATTCTGGATTGTAAATAGGTGAGAGAACTAATTCTAGTGGATGCCTATCATCCTAAGAGAGGTCAGGCATGGAGGTAGGTGCATGTCTGTCATGCCAGTTTATGGGAAGAAAAGAAGGCTATCTATCTCTCCCTCCCTCCCTCTCTCTCGTTCTCTCTTGTGCACACGCACACACATAAACACTGACACATAGGCTATGGAGGCAGGTATGGGGCGATGTGGCCTCAAGGAATACAGTACCCACTAACAAATGGGTTCACTAATAAAATGTGGACTCTTCCCAGAAGCCACAGAGGGAGTGTATCCCATAGATACCCAGGCATCCCATTTGTCTCTAAAAGTGTGAGAGAATAGCTTTCTTTTGAGACAGAGAGACTCTCACACTGCTTAGGTTAACTTTGAACTCACAATGTGGCTGAGGATGGCCTTGAACTCCTGTGCCTCTTCGCCTCCAGAATGTTCCAGACAAGTACTCTACCAACCAACACACTATTTTTGCTATTGTTGTTTGAGACAGAGTCTCTCCATGTAGTCCTGGCTTTCCCATAACTCATTTTATAGACCAGGCTGGCCTTGAACTCACCAGAGATCAATCTGCCTCTATGCCCCAAGTGCTGGGATTAAGGTGTGTGCTACATCACCTTCTATATTAATACTGTTCTATTTATCTCCTTTTGTTGTGACACCACAGGAAGCTAGAAATGCCACAGTGTGAACTCCGGTGAGACACCTTTCCCACGCTTCAAAAAACAATGTCCTGGCCCTGCTGCCTGTGGGTCTCATGCTCTGAGCACTTGAACATGACATGCTCTCAGACCTCGATACTGAATGTATGGCCCTTTGCTGCTGGTGTTACTCTAGTAGGTCCTGGAACTTTAGGAGGTGAGGCTAACCTGTAGGAAGCAGGTTGCTGGAGGAGTAACTCTAGGGTCCCTAAGCCCTTCTCTCTGCATTTTGTCTGCAATGCAGTGGACAGCCTCCTCTGCCACACTCCTGCCACCATAATGTTCTATCCAAGGCCACAGGAATAAGCAACCAATGGGCTAAGCCCATTGAAACTGTCAGCCAAAACACTTCCTACCTCAGTCTGAAAGGCATTTAAGTCTCACTCTGTTGTCCAGTATAGTGTCCTTGCCTGCCCAAGTGCCGAGTGTGGAACCCCCTGGAAGTTGTGGACCCCTGCCACAGTCCTACAGTGTATTTATTATGCCAGCATGCATGTGGGGTCATTCTGTACAAAATGGCAATGACGCTTAAAAAGAGTATGTAGACTTTTTAAGCACAACTAAGGGGAATTTCAGGGACGGTGAGGTCATTGCAAATGTAATTGGTTAAGCAAGCATCAGTTACATTCGTGTATTTTGTTTTTTCAAGACGGTTTCTTTAACAACCCTGGCTGTCCTGGAACTCGCTCTGTAAACCAGGCTGGCCTCGAACTCACAAAGATCTGCCTGCCTCTGCCTTTCGAGTGCTGTGATTAAAGGTGGGCACTACCACCACACGGCTAGTATATTTTTCATCGGCTTTGGACATATTTCACAAGCTTGAGCAGGTCTGGATGTGACCCAGAAGAGGGGCTGTAGAACTTGTCCTTGAGATATTCTGGGGAACAAGACTGCAGGCCCTGTTTCTGTTCTCTCCCTTGGCCCTGAATGTATTATTCATAAATGGCTCTTTGTTGGGAGAGACACCTCTCAGAGAACTGAAACCTAAATTCCTTGTAACCGTGGGAGAGTTTAACCCCTTTGGTTTGGCTTCTATTTTTAAAGAGTTCGGTCTATGGTCACTTGCCCCATGCATGTTGGTAGAACATCACTGTAGAATATATAGCAATGAAGAGCTCATCCCAGGAGAGGCAGCAAGGGGCCAGGATAGGATTCCCCTAAGGACTTTCCCAGGAACTGCTTCCTTGAACTGGACCTCACCCCATTTTCTCCATTCTTGATCATTTTAGTAGTCCATCTAAGGATTAATCCACTCATGGGCCAGAGCCCTGCACCTAACTGGCTCCTGAAACATCCTCACAAACACTCAGAGTTGTGCCCCGCTGATCCAGTGTCACACTCAGGCTTCACCATCACAGCCTTCAGTTCCCAACAGTACGTCCTTTAGTCACCTTGATGACCCTGTTCCCTGCCATCTGTCCACACCCCATCCTGGAACTACAAGAGGCAAAGGGCTCCATGCTCTGCCTTTGCCCCCATCTGCCCTGGAAAGTCCTTTCCCTTCCCTCCCCACCGAGAGGCAGGATTTTTTAGTGTTGCTTTTGGCTGTCCCATAACTTGCTCTATAGGCCAGGCTGGCTTTCAACTCAGAGATTCCTCTGCCTTTGCTTTCCAAGTGCTGGGACTAAAGGCATATGCCACCAGCACTCAACTTGAGATCCTCTTGATGTTTTCTGTCTCAAGCAGAATTGAGGTGCGCAATAGCACCAGGTGTGATCTTTTGTTTGAGACAAGGTCTCAATCCA